GATAGATAGATAGATAGATAGATAGATAGATAGATAGATAGATAGATCTGCAGCATAAATAAAACCCCGTTTCTTTGCTTTTTCCCCCTGTTCCCAGGTGGTGTGGAACAGCTCGTACAAAGTGGGCTGTGGGGTGACGCTGTGCCCCGATAACATCCATCTCTACGTCTGCCATTATTACCGAGCGTATGTGGAATCACAATCAGAAATACTTTAATAATCCCAGAGGGAAATTATTTTTATTACAGGCTCCATAAGCAAAACAAAGGCATATACATATATACATGTCTATACATATATGTCTATACACATATACATATATATGCCACCCCCCACCACGTTTTGCTTTGAGAGAAGAACGTGACCTATTTATAGTCCCGAGCACAGATTCCGAGAGATGATTAACGAAAGGTCTCTCTCGTCTCTTAGGGGGAACTTTAAGGGCTGGCCGCCTTATAAAGCCGGACCCCCGTGCGCTTCCTGTCCCAACGACTGTGAGGACAAACTCTGCAGTGAGTCAGCAATTACACCACGCAAAGGGGAGACATTTCCCAGGCTGTCTTGATTCAATTATATTCAATTTTATTTCTATAGCGCCACATCACAACAGCAGTTATCTCCCAGATTTCCAAACAGAGAAGGTCAGACTGGAATCTGAAGTTATTTACAGAAGAACAACAATTCCCACCAAAAGCAGCACTAGGCGACACAGGGAAGGAAAAACTGCCTTTTAACAGGCAAAAACCCGGAGCAGAACCAGGCCAGTTGGGGGTGATAGAAAAAAAAGGGCGAGAGGGTGAGAGAGGGCGAAAGAGGGCGAGAGAGGGCGAGAGAGAGGGAGAGGGCAAGAGAGAGAGAGAGGGAAATAGAGAGAGAGGGCAAGAGAGAGAGAGAGAGGGAGAGAGGGCAAGAGAGAGAGGGCAAGAGGGAGAGAGGGCGAGAGAGAGAGAGAGAGAGAGAGAAGAACAGACACATAGACTGAATGAAAAATGGCAAAGATATTGATACTAATGATAATAATAGCAATAATAACAGCAATAAGACTATGAACAGTGGCTGTAATTGTAATTATACCAGAGTAGGAACACGGGAGGGGGGGGTTGTTAATAGGGATGAGGCTGCCCTGGGAGGGAGAGGGAGAAAGACGAGGGGAGCCCGGTGCATCATGGGAAATCCCCCGGCAGCATAACTAGGGGTGGACTCACCCCAACTATGAGCTCTATCATATAGGAAAGTCTTAAGCCTGCTCTTAACTCATTGACTGCCAGAGTTTTTTTAGCATTTTGACTGATTTTTCAAGAGTCACAGAATAGTTTGTGCTATGACTATGTAAACACCGAACACACCAAAAAAAAGAGTAGACTCTCTTCTTTCATCAGGAAAAAAAATGTGTTTTCTACCTTATTCCGTTCTTCCTCGACGTGCGTCTCACCGGCGACATTTTTCGCATAGAGAACCATTGCGTTTTTCTTATTTGCCTACAGTCTATGCTCATCTCCCATCAAAAGTGGCACTGCCCCCTAGAGGGTCAATTTGTTAGTAGATACTCTGTCTAGAAGCCTGATATTTACGGACAAGCTTTAGCAGATCGTCCCCCAAGCCACTCTCGTTGAAAAACATAAAAGACGTCTATAGACGTCTTTGGCAGCCAATGAGTTAAATCTAGAGACGGTGTCTGGAACCCCAAACTGGAACCTGGTGAATAAACTCTCTTCTTTTCTTTGCTATTCTTTTTTTTCTTTTCTTCCCCCAGCCAATCCCTGTCCTTGTATCAACAGTTTCATCAACTGCCGGTCCTTGAAAGCCGTGTTTGGATGCAGCAACGCGCTGGTGTCCGCGTGGTGCCCGGCTTCATGCAAATGCTCCACCGAAGTCATTCCGGTTTATTAAACCGAGGAGCTGTTCAATCTGAGTGTTCTTCACATGTGGGCCCAAACGCGTACGAGTTTATGACCCGCGAAACCCCTGATGACACGTGAAAACACCGTAAAAGACAATAAATAAAGACCGGTTTGTTGTCTTAACTTAAAAGATGTTCTGGACTCTCTTTGAAACCCTTTGAAAAGTTGTAAATTCCTGTAATCTGGTATGATGGTATCAGTGGTTGTAGGGTGTTTTTATGACTTTATTTCTCTTTTATTTTTTAATTTATTTCATTCAGACCTGCATTGACTTGTGGGAAAGCAAATCTACTGAATATAAGTGGTGGGATTTCACCCGAAAGCGAAACCAGTTAGATTTGTTTGCATACCAAGATGGTTTACACAGAGTTTGTAATAGCAGAGAAACATTCAATTTAATATGGGAAAGTTTACCATAAACAGGAACCCCAGAAATACCACTGGGGTTTAACCCTGTAAAGCCAAATGTATCATATTTGAAACATACGGTTTCTGAAATGTTTTGCCTCTGACACCTTTTGCATAATTTAATGGTAAAAACTTTGCTCAAAATCCTATTGTACACAATCAGATACACCTGATAACAGGGGGCAGAAGACTACACAAAAAATAATCTTGACTTATTGTATAGTAATAAATTATTAATATTAAAAATGTATTTCTGTTTTTTCTTTTTACACATTTTGTTAAAAGGCCAAATAAGGAATTCAAACAAAAAAAAAAGTAATTTTCTGTTTTTTTTTATTCTTGGATAAGGCTGTAAAAGGTTAAGAGATTAAGGGAAAGTGCTTGATTTATGGATCCCCCTACAGGGGACGGAAACAGTTAGAATAAGGCCGACTGACAGATAAATCACAGAAAACCTGATAATCCAAAATCGGGCGAAGGTAAAAATGGGGTGATTCTTGATGGACTGATGTATGTTTGGAAAAGGGAGCGACAGAAGGGGAAACTGCTGAAGCAGAGAGCCGTGACAGCAGCTTCTGTTCACCAAAAAGATGTGTTTAAGGCGCTTTGAGCTGGGAGGAAACTGGAAAAGAGCTGGACCTCTTGTTTCCATCCCGCCTTAAATAACAGCTAAATGTTATATTAACATACAGTGGGGGAAATAAGTATTTGACCCCTTGCTGATTTTGCAGGTTTGCCCACTTACAAAGAATGCTTATTTTTCCTCATCAGATGGTTATCAATTTTTATAAATTCATATGATGTGATTTTCTGGAATTTTCTTTGGGATTCTGTCTTTCACTGTTAGAATGTACATATGATTAATGTTATAGATCGTTGCATTTTTTGTAAGTGGGCAAACCTGCAAAATCAGGAAGGGGTCAAATACTTATTTCCCCCACTGTATCTGTATCAGTCAGCTAAGAAGAGGCCCAATAAGTACTTTTGGGACTTTATGTTAATATAATTTGTCTAGATAATTTGTTATTATTTGCTTCCAACCTGTCACTTTTACTTATAAATTAGTATTTATAGTGTGTTTTATTAACACCAGTATAAAATTTATAATAATTTTATTACAATTTACTTTTAAAAAGCTCCTTTCATGCCACTCATGGACACTTTACAAAGACGATCATCATTAAAACAACATTAAAACATAAGAAAACATACAAAGTCATAAATAGATCATGAATAAAAACATCATAAATGAATAAAAATGGAGTTAATACAACTGTGCAAAATGAGGGGATTGTTAGAGTTAGGGGTGGTGAGGTGGATTCAGAGTTTATTTATATGCAATAAACTCTTAGTCTGAATCATTGGCCCGACTGGTTGAGTCTGGAGACGAGTGTTCACATCTAAAATCGTCTTTTTAAAGATAACTTTGCCTCATGAGGTAACCAGGCTGCCACTTTCATCAGTATTTCTCTTTTGCAAAGTCGACGTGTGTGTGTGTGTTTGGAAACGTCGAAACGTTAAACCATCCTCCAGAGAACGTCTGAGATGGAAACTGTTATCGTGCAAGAACTTGCATAATAATGTTGGCAGAGCGAACATCTGTGCCAACTCTTCTGTAACAATCAAAATATTTCCTAAGTCTTTCGGTAGCTTCAGAACACACACGTGCACACACACATGCACACACACACACACACACACCATCTAACCATGTTCATACATTCAAATTCACATATGCATCTAAAAAACAACATTTTGGAAACTTCATTTGCAATTTTAAAAGAAAAGTTTGATTTTTTTCTGTCTTTCTTTTCAAATAGTTGAATTTTTAAATAAAAATTATTGAAATTTCTTTTCTTTTTTTCTTTTATTTAAAAACTTTGATAGTTTCTTTGTAATTAGATGTTTATTTTGTTGTTTTATTCTTTTTATTATATGATTTTTTTCTTCAAACAATGCTACCGTAGATCCTAACCATGTTCATACATTCAAATTCACACATATGCATCTAAAAAAGAACATTTTGGAAACTTCATTTGCAATTTTAAAAGAAAAGTCTTCTTTTTTTCTGTTTTTCTTTTCAAATTGTTGAATTTTTAAATAAAAATTCTTGAATTTTCAAATTATTTTCTTAATTTTTTTTTTAAATAGTTTCTTTGTAATTATATGTTTATTTTATTGTTTTAATTTTTTCATTATATGATTTTTTTCTTCAAACAATGTTACCGGAGATCCTTTTTTTCTCACAAACTGGATGCATTGAGCATTAGGCAGTTATGGGTCCTTGTTTGCCTTTAACGGTTTGCTTCATTCAAACAGCAGATGGCTCTGTAGTCCAACTCAAGTTTTGCACCACAATCTTTGTACCTGCCTCCTTTTGAACCGTTTGCCAATAATGAAAAAGGACTAACCATTGTTCTGCCCTATCTCTCAGCATCTCTGTTTGTTCTGTGGGAGGCTCTAAAGTTTGGTGTTGCGTATATCTAACCTGTACTGCAACAATTCCTGGCTTCCTTCAGTCTCATAAGTTGTGCGTCTTCCAAATAGAGGCTGAGCACATCGGCTAAGGCAGATATTATCAAGTTAATGCTGTTATTTCTGCATTTACTGACAACATAAAGGAGGAAAATCTGGCACACAATGTGACACTGACAGATAAACACGTGTCACATGAGGCTTTCTCCGGAAAATAATGTCATTTACATCCATTAGATGTTTATTCCAAGTACAAATGCCATCGTTCACATGAATAATGTGGAAAATGTTCCACGGTTACACAAAAAAAAAACAGATTTTATGACATTGTTCAGCCTCGGTTTGAAAACATGACACGAAAGCCCTGAAGAAAAAATGGAGTTCTTGTTGCTCAACTCCACTGAAAAGTCCCCTCTTTTCTGTGGTCGGAGTTTTATGTCTTTTAAAAACGACTGAACTTTGTTGATTTATTGTCTGTTTATTTGTTTTTGTGTTTAAATTGTTCCTTTGATTTGTTTCTGTTCCTCTTATGACAGTGTGTCATATTTTCTTGTTGAGTTTTAGCCATTGTTTAAAATTATTATTAACATTATCATCATTATAATTATCAGACATTGGTGAAAAAAACAAAAGGTCAAAATAGTTTTATGCATGAATAAGATATTAGCATGTTTCAAATTTTCTTGTTGAGTTTTAGCCATTTTTAAAAAAGGTCATTATCATTATTATTATTAGACATTGGTGGAAAAGCGAAAAGGTCAACTTAGTTTTATGCATGAATAAGTTATAAGCATGTCTCATATTTTCTTGTTGAGTTTTATCCATTTTTAAAAAGGATCATTATCATTATTATTATTAGACATTGGAGGAAAAGCCAAAAGGTCAAATCAGTTCTATGCATGAATAATATTAGCATTTTGACAGAATAAGTTCTGTTTTGTGTTGGTTATTGTGTTGTTTGTGTGAATTTGATTGCCTTTTGTGCTATTATTTGTTGTTATTTTTGTTATTTAATTTTACTTTGCACTTTTATGCAGATGTCATATTTCAAAGAAGTTTGTATTTTTTCCGTCTACTTTCTGGTGACTTGTGAGTTTTATACAGATTTATTTTGTTACTGTACATGTGTTTTCCTGTTGATAATGTATTGTTGCAATCGTTTTTGGTCTGTTTTGTGCTTGTTTTCGTCAGATTTGTGCTATTTCCTCTACGTTTTGTGTACGTTTTTGTGTATCATCACACTTTGAATGTGGTACTCGAGGACTTTGAGTACTTTTTATTTCTTCTTGCACTTTTTTTTGCATGGGTTGTTTTATTTCTTGGATGCTGCTGGGACATTTGTAAGCATTTGACTTAATTTTTGTGCTATTTTTTCCGCAGTTTTGCGCTAGCTTGAAAGTATCATTGTTATTTATTATTTATTATTATTATTTGTTATTTATTGTTTTTGGTCTGTTTTTTGCTTGTTTCCGTCAGATTTGTGCTATTTCCTCACACTTTGAATGTGGTACTTGGGGACTTTGAGTGCTTTTTTTCCCCTGTTTGCACTTTTTTTTGCATGGGTTGTTTAATTTCTTAAGCCGTTTGGATGCTGCTGTGACATTTGCAAGCATTTGACTTCATTTTTGTGCTATTTTTTCTGCAGTTTTGCGCAAGCTTGAAGGTATCTTTGTTGTTATAGTTGTTGTTTGGCTTTCTCTGAATGTGCAGGACGCTGGACTCGGTGTGCAGGTTGAATATTTCACGGTTTGCTGTGCAGAGGAGTGAATTCGGGGCGGTCCTTGTGCTGGTGAACAGAATAATTAGCTTTGAGTGACAGCTCGCCTTGTTTTGCCTCCTGCGCCCTCACGAGACACAACTTTGTTCCCTGGGAACTTCTGTGAGTGACGGGTTACTTTACCAGCGAATCTCGCTTTATCCTTTTTTAAAAAAAAACAAAGTGGAGTGGACACTTGGTGCCGTCTACTTGTCAACGTGGAGGGGGGAACGGACTCGGGGAAAGAGCCGAACAAGAGTCCGTCGCTGTCGGTTTTGCACTTTGACTCAGTTGGTTGTGAAAACTAAAACTAACTTCAACCAGCTAGCGAGTGACCGGGTTTAGCTAGC